TATCCTACACTACGGACGCCCTAGTGTATGCACAGTCCTTGTGATGCCAGAAATGCCTACCCCTCTTTCCAGCACAAGGCATACATAAGCGGGGGGTAAATTTACCCCCCAGATTTGCAATAACCATACACCGGCTATTTCCTCAAGACACTCTATTCCATATACCTTTTACCCGTGCTTCTCCTACACTACGGACGCCCTAGTGTATGTACAGTCCGTATGATGTCAGAAATGCTTACGCATCTTTCCGACTCAAGGCATACAAAAGCGGAGGGTAAATTTACCCCCAGATTTGCCGATCACGCATCTTCGTGCCTGCCAGCGAGTGCACCCGGGTTGTTCCAATGTACCCTTCCCAGTCAGCGATGTCACATTTACATTCTTTAGCGCAAAGTATGTACATAGCAACCTTCCTCCCAAAACATGTAATCCCTACATGCTTTGCCGACTATGTAACTAGTACATCCGGTGCGATTCGGCTAGCTTTCGACCTCTCCCCCTGGCCTCAAGTTTTCGTTTAGAAGCGGGCCCCCACCAAAATATGGTGATACAGCAAGGCAGCGCTAGGTTGGCGCTAGGTTTCTTCATAACAGGATAGCAAGCAGGAAAAATAAGAAACAAGCAGAGAGCAGGAAACAGAAGAAGCAAGACAACAAAAAAAGAAAAGCCAAGAAGAAGAAGAAGGAGAAGAATGCACAACAAGAAGACGACAAGCAAGCAGGAAAAATAAGAATCTGACAGGATAAAGAAATCGACGGAGATTTTTGCGCTAGGCTGGCGCTAGATCCGCGCTAGACGACGGTCCATTTCTTGACCAGTTGCCCATCCAACATCCAAATCTTTTGAGTCAGCTCTTACGTCCTGCCTAATTATGTCGTTCTGAAGATTTCTGAGAACAAAAAGTGGAAACAACTGCAGGAGTCCAGCAGCAGCAGCAGCTCCAGCATCTCAGCAGTCCGCGCTAGACACCTCTCACAGTTTTTGCAGTTCACACGCCTTCATGTTTAACATCCCTGTGGTTTGACTGTGGTTGAAGTTTAAAGGAGATTTAGAAGCGGGCCCCCATGGAATTGCGATGAGTGCACCATTTTGGGAAAAGACATTTTGGAAACCAACCAAATGCATTGGGGTCTTAAGCAAGCCCGCCTGCATTTATATATATATAATGTATTATTGTATATTTTTCCTTCTTGGCTTTCACATTGCGCGCGTCCCTGTGCCTGCAACAGCATTCACCTAGGACCTAGATCCTACCAGCGGCTAACCACTTCCTGGTGTGTTCATACTACAGGGTGCAGAACCAATCCTGTTGATTTCCAATGTTTGCACATCAGATCTGTACACATCAACTACAGTATTCAAACGCTTGCACAGGAGCAAGGCATACGTATCTTGGAGGGTTCGTGAACATTATCATCAATGTCACAACATTGAAATCGATTAGTCATGTGATTAAAATGGGATGGCCGACGGGAAGGACACTATCTGGAGCCCCGCCCCACAATAATCGTCAACCCCCAAAAAAATTGTTTTAAAATTCGTGGCGATTTGCACAAACGTCCCATTGTCTAAAGTGAACCCGTCGGGAGATATATATATATATAGATTGTATAACCACTAAAACAGGCCGTTGTACGACATGGTGTAGCCATTTTCTCAAAGCTAAATCCCCACAGTGTTTTGTTTTGCGGGAGAAAACTCTCCAGGTTAACTCACTCCAAGAGCTCCTAGCGGCGGGCAGCTTGTCAAAATAAGCGGGTTTGAGGTGTGCTCAGTGGAATTAAATTTGTGTTTCGGCTGTTAAGGTTCCAGTTTGGATGGGCCCGTGAAGTGGGCCTTTGAAGATTCCTCAGATCATCTCAGCTGTCACTTTCGTCAAACGCCGAGTTCAGCACCATTGCGTCAGATCATGTTTAAGTCACTGAGGAGCAGACGTAAACGCTCCAGATGACACTGGCCAGATTGTTTCTTGACAGCATCATTTACAATTGGTGAAGTGAAGCACCCATGGCTAACCATTTTGATACTTGGTTTCCCAAAGATCAGAATGCTGTTCGCTACGCATTCATGTTCATGGTCGCAAGAATACAAGAAAAACAACCTGGTCCTTGCAGGCTGGACGTTGGCACATATTTAAAGTTATATGTTTTGCTCGTTCTTTCAAGCTATCAGCTACTTTTTGACCTTTCTTTAGTTGGTCAACGGTGAGTGGCATTGCAGTTGATTAAATGATTGTTGATAGATGTGATATTTGTGTCGAATGCTTGGTGCTCTTGAAAAAGCTGCTGCTACTGCTGCTGCACAAGCTGCACCGGCCAACAACAACTATTGGCGTCAAACTGGCCAAAGAAGCCTGAGTTTGTTTGTTGTTCTGTTTGAACTAACTAGGCCACAGTTGCGGCTGCTATCCGTGGAGACCCACTGGTTATGGAGGTGCTTTTGGCAGCGGATGCTGATGTGGACGCCACCAATTCGAATCTTGCGTGGCTTTTGCATCAATCAATTTCTATGTTTGTGTGCGAGTCGTTGCTTTTACCCGTCAGGTGCCGGTGCAGCATCAAACACAACATTGGCTTGCTGCATAACGTTGGAGTGAAGCATGTGTAAAGTACCACTTGTCAGAAAAGTCGACGGTTGACGACAGTACAAGTCGATGGTCGAAGCCAGTATAGGCTAATCGGTTGTGTTTGCTAGGAATGGTGTGAGTGCTATCATCGCAGCTTCACACTTGGGACACTGCGATGTGCTCTCACAGTTGCTTGGTGCATGAGTGGCCCAACGTTTCTGTTCGCAGGCTCAAGAGCAGCAAGTGACTTGAGTTTTTGGAGGTACAGGTAAACCAAAGAGGATTGAATCATATTGCAATGTATTACACATATAGAATCATATAGAATCGTATAAATATGATTAAATATGTATAAATATGATACTGTTCATGTTGAATCCACCTGGTCGTCAGCCGAGGTTGGTTCGAGCAAGATGTCAAGTGGACTCTGTGAACCAGGTCCTACTTGGAGAGAGTCTCCAAGCTTTCGACAGAACACCTGGTATCAATTGTCATTAATGTAGCTTTGTGAAGGCTTGCAGAGCAATTGCCAGTGGCACAAGGGCAGTGGGTGGCTTGCCGTGCATCCTTCCAAGCCTCAACACGATCATAAGTTCACAATTGTTGAAACCTTCTTCTAGGGGAAAGGTTTACAGCAAGAACAGGGAAATTTGATGAAACGGATTGACATGACGACGTGTGCCGATCGTACATCGATTTGCTGTGCAATGTTGTGGAAGTCGAAGCTGTGCTGCTAGGCGGGTGCCACTGCCCTAGTTGCAGCTGTAGAAGGCAATCAACTAGCAGCAGCTAATGTGCTCCTTGAGGCTTGGGTTTGGCGCTGAGTTTGCTGCGCTGAAATGATGATGAAATCATCTCTTGACTTTGTTTATGCATGTTTATGCAATATCCAACGGAAAGCCGCCCTTGATTTGATCATTGTTCAGCCAACAGACAACAGAGCTGAAGCCCTGTGGGTCCTTTAATATGATTCTTAAGCGTTTTCAGGGCCGTCAAGGCCAGGCACTCGGTTCTCCCAGGTTTTCTTCCATAGCTGGTGTGAGGGCATTTGTGCAAAGCTTTGAGGGCTTAAGATTAGACAACATGCGAATCTCAGGACAGTCTCTCAAAAAGAGGAAAGAGCCGTTACTCATCATAAATTCCGCTTTGGAGTTTCTCAGAAAAGAATGGAAGGGGACCCAATATCGGAACATTCGAGAGGATTGTGGTTATTGATGGTTATTGTATGTTATTGTATTGCGGGGCTGGAGAAGGTCAGTTTGAGAGGCTTCGTGTGAGTTTGGTTTGATCTCCATGTAAAGGATTAAATAGGAAAACTAATTGATGTTTGTTTGCAAAGTCCAAGTTAGAATTCCAGATGTTTCAAAGCAAGAAGAGAAGCGACGAAACGAAGCAGGAAGAGGAACAGGCGAGAATCGAAAGCGAAGGAATGGAACGCTTGGGAAAAAGGAAAGATCTTTGAGGAAGTGTGTCGCTTGAGGAAACTGTTTATGAACAGTATAGTAAGAGGGGCTTGCTACTGTGAGATCAGATTCTACTAGAGAAGCAATGGCAATGTAATACTGTATATGTCATTGATTTGCCCCACCAAAACAGGAGACTTGCATTCTGAGATGGTTTGACAGTCTGACGTCATTGAATCCATTATATAATGTTATATATATATAAGCGTGCATGTGTGATTCTATATACTATATTGTACACCTACATCGCATGGCATGATCAAGTATGTAGATATGGAGAAATTTCACGAAAGCCTATAGGCTAGGCTGGAGTTGGGTTGGGCAAACGAAGTCAGTATAGGGGGTGGGGGGGGGGTTGCACAGCGCCAAATTTCGGAGGGCGAACCCAGAGCCTGGTGGGGGAGAGCGAAGAAAACAACTTGGAGTTTGGGAGTGGTTTCTGGTGTGTTGTGATGCAGGTGATGTACTTGGCCAGTAGTGCATCATTAGCATCATAATGAGATCAGGAAGCAATCTAAAGCGTCTTCGACCAGGGGTGAGAGTTGATGTCGATGATAGGGAAGAGGGGGTAACGGGACGCGAAAAAGTGGTTGGAGCTCTTCCAGGAAAGGGAGATGCGCGTCTTTAAATAGTGTTCGACCAGGGGTGGAGAGGGAACAGAATGCTGTGGGGAAGGTGGAAGACAGGCATAGCGGAGGGAAAAGAGGGCTTGCAAGAAATCTTGGGGGTGCCGCTTTGAAGTAGTGAAGATGCCTGTCAACCACACGCAAAAGGGGACTGCATAGGAGTGGGAGTTCATATGGAAGACATGCGTAGCGGAGGAGGGCGTGGTTGGCAAAGACTGTTTGCAAGAAATCCTTGAATTTCTGGGGGGGCTTTTTTTTTTACGATGAAGATGCCCCCTAACTATACGCAAAAGGGCCCTGATATGGGTACGAGTTCATGTAATGATGCGGCCCGTTGAGGGCAGGGAAACAGAGGCCTGTTGACCAAACGCAAAAGGGCGCCCCAATGGAGTGGGAGTTCATGTGCAGGATAGGCATAGCGGGGGAGGATGTGATAGGAAAAGGGGTGGGAAGCATTCAGGGATCTCGCACTCACCCCCCATGACCATATTGATCTTTCTTATGGCGGCTGGTTTTCGTCCCCTTCCTTCTCAGGTATATGTATATACAAAAAATATATATATATATATGTTGTTACTGCGAACATGTGTAGAGGATCGACCCCAGCACTACAGAGTGCCAACGTTTTGTCCAGAATTTGTATAACACCCCGAATGAAGTCATTTTAACAAGATAAGCTAAAAGGGTTCTCAAGTTGTGAAGACAGAATTTGGCTTGCAGGCTGGGGCCAATGTCAATCATGTGCCTTGCCTTGTGTGAATTCAGGCTGGTGTTTTGGGAACCAACTACAGGTCAGATGGACTGACTATGGGCATTTACCGATGTCATTTCACATGCTTGCTTTGTGTTCAACAAGCAGTCAAGTCAAACACTGCACTGAGTACACCGTTCTTATTTCGATGCACCAGTGGAGCAACTGCTGAGCAGGGATTGTTCTAGTACACTCAGAGCAGAATTGATGAGTTGCATACACCCCATCCTACTTTACTCGACGGTGTGGCAGGGGCCAAATGCAATGGTCGGATTAGACTGGAAAGGAACCACAATTTCTGTGTAAACAACAGTTCTTCAAACATCATGAAACCGGGCCTTGACTGGGGAGACGATAACAGCCAAAGTTCAACCTTCGTAGGTACAGCATAATTACGTATCTTGACACGTGCTGTTCAGAAGACAACGTTCCTTAAACATTTGGTTGAATGCGTGAATGCACTCACACTTTTGCCTCAAACCTAGTCAGTCCCCGTGTTGAAACGCCTGTTCAGTTCTTGTCGGGGAACCCCCGCTTTGCAGCCACCAGGCGCACCCAATGAAGCAAAGAGCACCAAGCAAAAAGGAGGGCAAACCACGGAAATGGAGTAGGCTGACTTCAGTTTCAAGTCGTAACCCTTAACAATGCTCCAGCGGTCGCCACATGATGCACTAATTAAATGCTTCCTATCAACCACCACAATCACAGCAGCGCTGCAACTACAAGGTGTATAAGGTTCGTGAAACATCCTTCTCAAACATTCTTTCCACAATAAGTGCATCGCTACTAGTAACAGGTGCATCGCTAGTAGTAACAAGAAGCTACTAGGAACAAGTGCATCGCTACTAGTAACAAGTGCCTTACTAGTAGTAACAAGAAGCTATTGTATCGTCTCAAACATCTCAACCCCACTTTGGCCCCAGAGGTGGCCACCAGCAATGTGACCTTATAGGGTCAACGTCGCGACCCTTTCTTGAGGCTACCCGAACAGTGAATAATTTATAAGAAACATTGTTTACCTTTCTGACTGAGTGTGTTTAGCAACTTTTCAGCTTAGGTCGGAGTTATGGATTCAACACCTCTTTTTGCAGCTGTCCAGGACTGCATCCAAAGATCAGTGTGAGTTCAATATGGAGAGTTCAAGAAAGAACATGTGTGATGGCTGACCTCAATTCTGAGACGAACCCAGATCAACAAACGTTTGCAAGGAAAAAAGGCACATTGCGAGACAGAGTTTAGTTTGTTTGAGGCTGGCAATCTCTTGTTGTTTAATCTCTTTTTGGGCTCGCACCAACGATGGGCAGCTGTTGTCAGCTTTTGCTGTCTTGTCATATTGGTCCTGCCAGGAGGGTCATCAGTCCATGGTTGCACTTCTTTTGGCGAAACGCGCAGACCCAAATCATGCCTCTCAGCTGGGCTGGAACTCAGACTCCGCAACAGAAAGGCTTTGCGGACCGACCACATTCAGATTTTGCTAGCCCGGCTTGGATCGTCAGAAAAGCCCAAGTATGGGCACACCAAGGGATGCCAAGGCCTTGTTGTATTAGTATATAAACTGTTATGAACTGATTGCAGGTGTTCTCCAGCACGCAGAGAACTTTGGCTATTGGGGTTGCGCGGTTCGTCGTCTTTGTGTGAAAAATGTGTTTTCTTTCTAGTTACTTGATCACACTGGCGAGGTGATAGGGACGACCATCATGGTCAAATTGTCTTTTTTGAGTGGTTGAGCTGCACTGACTTGATGTTTCTGATTAAGGTAGCAAAGAATGGTGCCAGCCCGCTCCTCGTTGCAGCTCAACTAGGTTCCTTGGTCGTGGGGCACCAGCAACGCCAACGGTCTTTGAACGACTCTCCATTGGAATGCATCAAAACACAATGTACAGCGAGGATTGCTGAGACAGAAGGCAATGGTACAGTTATGAAAGCTGCAGGTACTGTCCTGTACTGTACTGGAAGGATGTGCAAAGACTAAGGGGACAATGTGTTTCTTTGGTAGGGTGCTCAGTACCTGTCGTGCATCGTACATCGAATCTGGTGGTATTGAGTGAAAACGTTTGATCGCAGGATTCGCCAAAGTTGCGAAGGAACTGGTGCGAGCAAACTCTGTGGTTAACTACAAAAATGAGCAGGGCATGAACTCCTCTGCTTTGCTTCAAGCGTCGCAGCAAGGTCATATAGAGTCTTGGCACGATGCGGATCATTTGATCGTTTTGTGTTGAACTAGAGAAGGCAGATTGATGCAAATTGGTTGTTCGGGTGATGGATTGCTAATCATTGTCCTGGCTTTGTTGTGCACTCTGGGTCCAACGCGGTCCAACATCACAGCAGCACTGTTACATTGACTTGGGACCTGGGAAGAATTGACAATTGACATTGCTGGACATGGCTAAAACGCAATGCCACTAGCTAGACCTGCAGACGTAGGCGACTTGCTGCCAAGATGTGCGAAGAAATCGTCAAGGCTGAACAGCAACATCAAGCCCCTTGCGAAGACACAAGACCGTGGCGGAAACACCTTCAGAGCTAAAAAGTTAAGAGGAGCTGAAAGGCATGAAACACACTGCGAGCAAGCAGGGTAAGAACAACTTCTTGCCAATTGATACGCCTGATACGCGTTCAATCTATTTGTAAGATGGGAGTTTTTAGTGTCTTTGAAGGCCAAATCAAGTAGCTTGGAGTAGAAAGGTCAGCTGCAGCCAACTGCAGTGCAATTGGGTGGTAGCGCTAAAATATACCCAGACCTTTGGTATTTTGCCCAGTAGCGCTTTTGCCAGCAGTGGGTAATTGAGTCCAAGACCTAAGATTCCACACCGTTTGATGAGTCGTCATTTGCCACATTTGTGAAATTGGCCTTTAGATGCCATTAGCTTCCCAGGACATGGTTGAGCTGCTTCTGGCAGCCAGTGCCGCTGTGAACGGTGCCCGGAGTGATGGGGCCACTCCGCTGATCCTGGCCTCACAGGTTGGGAAAAGGGTTGTTGAAACATGTTTTTTCTTGAGGGAAAAGAGGTGGTAGGCAAACTAGCTAGCAGTAGCAAGCTAGTGGCAAGGATGCGAATTGATGAGAATAGAACCAACTGATTGTGCGCAATGTGTCAAAGTTGGTGTTTCAGAAGCTAGGTTGTACTTAAGTGTGTCTTCGGCTGCCCATTATACAACCACGTATCATCCTCTACCTCTACAAGCCAGGTAGCAAGTTGCACAACCAGGCAGCAATCCAAAATTTGTTGAAGTGTTTTTTTGGGCACGGCACTGCCAAGGCGGGACACAGCGATGTGGTTTATAAGCTGCTAGTGTCTTGCATGCACAAAATTGGAGCTGGAACTGGAAGCCCAAGTTGGCCGTTTTGATGATATGATAGGATTCCTGCAGGTGTTCCTTCAACTATGTTGGATCGAAGCCGTAAGCAATTTTCATTTCTGTATATTCTTGTCCTTTCATATTTGTCCAGACCATAAATAGTATCACAAAGCGATCAAAGATCATCAGCGTCCTATCTCAGGCCCTTGCCGGGGGAGGGGGAATTTAATGGTGTTTTTTTTGTGGTATGTTTTTTTTAGTGGTTAGGTGGCTTTTGTGGCGTTTGTGGCTTCTGGCTTTTGTGGCTTTTGGGTTGCCTGGCTTTTGTGGCTTTGGGCTTCTGTGTGGGTTTTGTGGCTTTGGCTTCTGTGTGGGTTTGGCTGTTGTGGCTCTTGGCTTCTGTGGCTTTTGGCTTTGGCTTTTTTCGTTTGTCTCTCTCTCTCTCTCTCTTTTTCTTTCTTGTCGCACTGATTCCTTTCTCTCTTCACTCATGCGCTCACGCAGTCATTCACTCACTCATCTAACCACTCACTTTCCTGACTCTTCCCCTCTCTCTCAGTCACTGATTCACCTGAACACTCACCCAGCCCTCCCCCGCGCCCCCACAACTCTCGAGGTTTTGGTTTCAGTGCCGGGATGCTCACTATACTTTGTGTTCATTGCGGGGGAGGCGCTGCGCTACACTTTGTGTTCATTGCGCGGCAGGCGCCGCCCTGCCGCGCACCCCCTCCCGCTCTTTTTAATTTCAGCGCCCCTCCCGCTCTTTATGAGCATTAACTTGTGTTTGTTTGTTTTTTTTTTCTCTCTCTCTCTCTCTCTCTCTTTCTGTTCCTTAGAGAGGGCCCTCACTTTGAGAATGGGGCTCAGCTGACTGTCTAGGGCAAAACGGCCCATACGAAAAAGCACTTGACGCAGGAGCACCAGCAGCAAAACAATGGAATACATTTCTATCGTGATGCCTCTTCTATCGAAATCTCTACTTTTTATGACTTATCACTTATCTATTAACTATTGTATTTATATTAAAATCTCAACGGGGTGTCTAGTAAAGTCCCTATTGTTTATGCTTTTTTATATTCAACTCTCTCTTTTGACAATTGATGGGGGAGGCGCTGCACTATATATACTTTGTGTTCATTGCGAGGGAGGCGCTGTGCCCTCCCCCGCATTCCCTGGCGCTCTTTTTCTTGACTAGCCACAATCTCTCATTTTTACCCATTACAATCGCTACTTTTGATAACTTTTCTGGCAAAACCGCTTTTTTTGACCTTTACATTGAAATCTCTCTTTTGATGAGTTTCTAATTATTGCTTTCTTTGCTTTTGATGACTCTTCTAGACAAAATAATTGCTTGTAATGCCTTTCCCATTGAGAACCACACAGTCACAGACCACCAACAATCAAAAAAGTAACAATAAAGCAAATAAAAATTCCCGATTAAAGTCCCGACCCTTAGGTGAGGTCAAAATATTCCCTTCATTCGTTGGTGCCATGATTTGTCATCTAAGGAGATGAAGGCAGATGTGAACCTGGGCCGAAGTGACAATGGCCAGGCTTTGATGTTTGCAGCCCAAGAAGGTCACACAGATGTTGCAAGGTAGCTGAAAGCAGCATTTAGCTCCACATGCCCCCACCTTTAAGCTTGTGACCTGGTTTAGAGAATTTCATTGTTGCAAGTTGGTAGTGAGAAAGACCCAGCAAACTTGAACCTGGTGCCTGACATTCAAGGTCTTAATGTGTGTTTGAAACATGTTGAGTTGTATGCTCTTTTTTGGAAGTAGATTGCGCACTTGCCAAGACCCGATTTGGGTAGATTCCATTGGCCTCTCTAGAAATATATGTGTGTGGGACTTGGGCCAGCTAGTTTCTTGTGTATATCCCCCTCCCCTTGTTTTAGAAATCGGGGGAGGGGGGTAACCTTTAGAAATTTCATTTCCAGTTTGATTTTGTCCTTGGTGTTTTCAAGGTTTTGGTTGATTTGGGATGACGTCGCCCGATCGTTTGTGGCTGCATGTGATTCCGCTGCTAGGTGAATCCTTATAGTTGACAAGGGAAGCGCACCACGACTTGCAAGCTAAGAAATTCAGATCACAACTTGCTAGAGCAGGCTTAACAATGACAATAGGCAATAGAATATGCATTTCCAAATGCAGATATGAATCCGTGCATTCATTGTGCCACATCGCACTCCAGCACCGTGACTTCGGTCATCATGATTATATAGAAAACCTCCCGACAATTAGATTCTTTAGTAAAGCCCCCTGACAATTAGATTTTTCAGCCCGCCTCGCCGCCTCGACTAAATCTGGAGGATTTAGTCAAGGCAGATTTTTTTCCATAGGAGAATCTAATTGCTGGGCTGGGGGGGCTTACACTTCATAGTAGAATCTAATTGTTGCCTCCTTCCCTCCTTCGTTCCTTCCTGCCCTTGCCGCGCCTTCCCTTGCGCGGGCTCCGCGCCATTCCCTTGTGCAGATTCCACCCCTTCCCTCCTTCCCTCCTTCCGTCCGTCCTTCCTTCCTTTTTTCCCTTGCCGTGCCCATCCCTTGCGCAGGTTCCGCGCTCTTCCCTTGTGCGGGTTCCGCGCTTTTCTTTTTTCCGGGCTCCGCACCCATCCCTTGCGCGGGCTCCGCGCTTTTCCTTTGTGCGGGCTCCGCACCCATCCCTTGCGCGGGTTCCGCGCTCTTCCCTTGCGCGGGCTCCGCACTTTTCCTTTGTGCAGGTTCCGCACCCTTCCGTTGCGCGGGACCCGCACCCTTCCTTCGCCAGACCAATCAATGTGATTGTGGCACACACGCTGCCTAAGGGGTAGTGGCACCGCAAAAAAAGAGCAGAGAGCCGCAGAGCAGTCAATTCTGACAAGCACGCGTGGGCTGGTATACTTTGGATAGCCTGAAGTGAATCTGATGGGATGATGTTTCTATGTTTCTAAAGGTCAATCCAGGCCAACCCATGTGATGGTTGTGACTGTAGTAGATATTATTGATTTTGTTTCGTTCCATTGTCCGACGTTGACTGACATGTTTTGTTCCTCATTTGGCGGCTCTCGATCGGGGACATCGGCGTGCAAAAAAACTTACTTTTTAGAGGGTGTAAGCCATCTAAAATAAGAAATTGACCCCCCTCCTCCACACACCCCCTAAGCAGTGGGGGATTTGTGTATTATCAATTCCTATCTAATCCTGTATGTTTGTTTCTGTCATTTCTTGTGTTATCCCACTATTCCTCTCCAACTGCACTTCAGCCTCGGCAAGGCAGCTTATTGCTGCGAATGCCAGAGCCGACGCAAAGGCTGATTCTGGCGCGACAGCACTGACTTTGGCTGCCCGAAACAGAGACGAGGCAATGTTGCGTCACTTGTTTCCAAATTGGTTTCTTTCGATGTTGTACCTGTGAGTGAAAGAAAGAGAGAGAGAGAGAGAGACACCGGCTGTGGGTGCTGGTGTTGAGAGGTGCCTTAATTTGTGTCTCCACAATCTTCGGAAAAGGAGGCTTCATGCGTACGGGGCATTTCAGTAGTGTTGAAGGGTTCTTTTTGACCACCGTTGAAAAGAAACACGCAGAGTGCAAATCGCATATACTGCAACTGTTCGGCATTTAGAGACTGGTTGTCGGTGATGCTCCTACCTCAGTCCCACTCATCGAAGTACAGACAGATCAGAAACCGCACAACTCCACAAGCCAAAGGTGTGGTCCTGACTGCTTCTAGAAACGATGCTGAGCGATAGCGCTTGCTTAGAATAATGTAGGCTGCAATAGGCTCTCGCTTCGGTCGTTGTCTAAATATGTCAGCCTAGCAGCACATGTCCTGATGTTCCAAGGGTTCAGGTAAAGCGGTGAAGCAGTTTGCTTTGGCGTAGAAGCAGCATTTTGAAGGGCTCAATGGCTGCTGCACCCCTTCAGTACCCGAATGATGGGTGGCGCCTTCTTGTGGTTTGGCCTTTGAAGTTTCATCCTCCTTCTTTCAAAGACGGTGCTTTGTATTGCGCTAGGGTGCTGGAGTTGTGGGGCATGCCAGTAGTGATGACAATGATGCTTCATATTGTGTTTACTTTGAGGATCATTGGCAGCTCTTATAGAATTGACAAAGAGTTTGTGTGTATGATCGCACAAAGCAGCGATGTCCCATCAAAATCAAACGAGGTTTTGTGAGAAACCAACAGAGGATGATTTGTCAAACCTGACGACGATGGGGCACTTCTGTAGTTTCACAGCATTTGTCAAACAACGTGAATGCTATGTGTTGTGCCAATGGCCAATGCGTTGTCCAGTTGTGCCAACTTGTTGTTTCATGTTTTTTTGGACCACCATTCTGTTGCCCACCCGCGTGCTGAGGCTGTTTGCTTGATGCAGATGGTGGAGACAAGTCCATTGATTTGGACAAGCTGTTTGACGGTAAAGAATCCTAAAAGATCCAAAAAGAGGGGCCGATTGTCAGCTCAGAAGTGCACGGGCGTGGAACTGCATTCTGCTTGCACTGAAGGAACAGGACTATCGGTTTGGAAACCTTGACTCCATTGGAGGCCATTGCTATTAGGTTGGAGGCCATCGCTAAAACTGCTGTAGCACGCACAGAGAGCTCCTTGTTGGTTTGCAGTGTTGTGCCCAAAGGTCACAGCTCGCACTGAAGATGCTCGCAAGCAGTTCCAGCAGCAGGATTGGTCAAGATAGTTATTTATATATTGGTAATTGTATATATGTTTGTGGAGCTGTCACAGAACAATACAACTAACCATGTAGTTGATACTTCTGCAAAGAGGATCCTCTCGAAGTTAGGCACACATGTTTAGGTTAGACAAGAGAGGGGGAAGAAGATGAAGAAAGGAACCTAGAAGTTAAGTTTCCCTAAAAGTACAGGAACCAAATGAATAGTGCGAGCGCTTCTTCAAGGAAGCTTCCTTGAAGAAGCTTGAGCTATCCTGTGTCCTGTCGGTAGTACCTACTTAAGCTACTAGCGACTCCCTTTACTAGCTACCTCTAGCCGACTCTAGCCATTACCTCACCTCTACCTACCCTCCTTTTGAAAACCAAACTTCTTGTTTTTCATGTATCATTTGAGTCGAAGGAGTTCTCTGCGCAAGAGCTTCATGCCATCGAGCTGGAAAGAGCTGATATAGTCCTGACCTATGCCTGCTCACAAGTCGAAAATACAACCTAATATATCGCCTTTGAACCCGCTTTTAGAATGGCATGTGTTGCAACCGCTTATCGACATGTTCACTGCTTGTAAGAGTGGCTAGCGGCTAGCAAGCATGCAACTGCTTTGCTGTTCTACAAGTGTTGTTTTCAGCATGCGAAAGCCAAGCACTGTTTGTGCTCGCAGCAATATTGTCAATTGTGCAAGTTACAGGAAGGATAATATGACCTATGAAAACGAGGATTTCAGGGTTGATGTGGCGGAGTTTGGACTCAGTGGAGAAACATAATGCAAACTTATGGAACCGTGCTGTCTGCATGTTTTTGTTGCACACGGGAAACACACTATGCATTGCGTAAAATCACATTCAAACAGTTGCTTTGGCAAAATGGAAGCACTGCCAAAGTGCCTACAGAGGTAGTTGTCGCGTCCGAACCATGTTGGTTTGGCAGCACATTGCAAGCAGCGTTGGAAAATGCCCTGTTTTGGCACTAAGGCAAGGCTTCATGAACAAGTGCGTCTCGAGAATCGACAGCAAGAGGCCACCAATACTTGGGCCGGTTGCTGTGTGGAAGTTGAAGTGACGCAAGCAAAACCAAAACCGGCTTTGGCACTGTCCATGTCTCCTGACTGTTTTTTTTTCCAGCTGTACATTGACCAACCTGAGGGCACACTCAAATGCTGTATGTGATTGTGATTCAAGGTGACAGTCACCCGCCTCAACCATGACAAGGAATTGGCGAGACGAGCTGCAGGCACCCTCATGCCATTTGCCCCGGGATTCCACCTGGCACCATGAGGCAAGTTCCCCATTGATCCCCAGAAAACCTCCGTAAGTGCATTTACTATTATTTACTACTGCTCTAGAGTTTTTGAGTGGTTTCGACTCGCTTCCCAGATGACCGACCATTCACTTCGCTTCAGGCAAATTCACAGATTAGACTAACATCACTTAGACTTGGCATTGAACATGGGATGTAGTATGAAATGCGATGTGATGATATTGTTGCATGTTTTCAGCAAAGCAGTACAATAATCCACATGTCACATGCCTCAAGTTATCCAGTTCAGTGCATGTTATGAACAACTGCATGCAGCACTAGACGTTCTTCCATGGCTAGGTTGGCCTGGCATGAAGAAAACTAGCTTTCGCCCAGGCGAACTTGCTGCTGAGCTACGGCGGGTTCAAACTTTGCAGGCAAACGCACAGCTTATTCGTCAACTGAACATGAGCATTGTTGAGAGAAAATGCGTTTACAGGTGTGTATATGCGAATGCGGGTTTCAACTACAGCAACTGTTGTATTTTGCCTTGTTTCGCTTTACAATCTTTACAGCTACACCCCAAGCATGTGTGGCTCATCTCAATCTGTTGTGTGTGGTTTGCTTTTCGTTGCTGTGTCCTGTTTGTTCAGCGGTTCTCCCTCGAAATATGATAGTCTGGAGCTCTGAACTTGTGTTTAACACGGAACAGCGAAAGGATATCATTTCTGTTGTTGAGATTGCTCAACTTCAGCTGGCCCTAGCAGGACACCTGGCATGATCGGTCTGAACAGTGTCAGCTCGACATGTTGGTGATGCAGGTCCGCCACTGTTTCATGAAAGGGCAATAGATAACACTGGCAATGTGCAGATTCATTCTGCCACTACTTGAGGCAATCACCGCCACGGCAACAACAACAACAACTACTACTACCACTACCACTACCACTACTACTACTACTACCACCACTACGACTACTACTACGGCTACGGCTACGGCTACGGCTACGGCTACTACTACGGCTACTACTAAGGCTACTACTACTACTACTACTACTACTACTACTACTAGGACGACGACGACGACTGCTGCTGCTACTGCTACTACTGCTACTACTACGTCGTCTTCCACTACTTCTACCACCACCATGAGCACACAACCACAATACCACTGCTACCACCACCACGACTACGACTACTACTACTTCTTCTACTACTACTACTACTACCACTACCACCTGCTCCCACAACGGCATTTACTACTTCTCCTCCTCCTGCTGCTGCTGCCTTTACTACTACGCCGGTTAAACTATAGCAGCAGGAGCAGCAGGAGTAGTGATAGTAGTAGTAGTCGTCGTCGTCGTGGTAGTAGTAGTAGTAGTAGTAGAAGTAGCAGTAGTAGTAGTAGTAGTAGGAGTAGTAGCAGTAGCAGTAGGAGTAGCAGTAGTAGTAGTAGTAGCAGCAGCAGTAGTAGACGTAAGTTGCAGGAGCAGGAGCAGCAGGAGCAGGACCAGGAGCAGGACCAGGAGCAGTAGCAGGAGCAGCAGCAGCAGGAGCAGGAGCATTAAAGCAGTAGGAGTAGTAGTAGTAGTAGTAGTAGTAGTCGTAGTGGTAGTGGTAGTGGTAGTAGCTGTTGTTGTTACAGTGGGTAGACACCGGAAACATTACAGAAGGTTGGAAAATGACACCATCACCAGGATCCAAATCAGTAGTTGCTACGAACGTATTGTCGATTCACATCTTTCAAGAGCAAATCTACCTGCGCTGCAGAATTTATCGTGCACGAGTTCGATTGTGTGCAGGTCGATTGTCAGCACTCATCAATCAAATCATCGTATTTGGAAATCAACATCAAAAGCGCTGCTCCAGGAGCAGATGTCTGACATTGTTCAGCGGATCTCTTCTTGCGAAGAGTCGCAACAAAAGGCACAGTTTGGTGATTTTTTTTCATGGTTCTTACTCATAGAAAGCCAAGGCTTGGTTTTGCCTGGAAACTGATTGTCCTCCCTTCCAAATCCTCAAGACTTCTGTCAGAAGACGGAGAGACCAATGCTGCTTAGTAGCGTTAGAAGAAATGGGTGTCCTGCCCAAAAGCAAAAGCAGATTCCTTTGAAGCTTTTATATTCTTTGGTATCATCCAGGGTTGCTTGAATGGGATTTGAACTTTAGGCTGACCACCCGCCTTACCCCGTCGCGCCAGGCGTTGGAAGAGGATGCCCGCCTCAAGGAGAATTGGTGGAGCGCGAATGATGTGTTTGACCAACGAACTATCCCCTGGTGCCCTTGTGTTTTTCAGGTCCAACCACTAGCATTGGCATACAGTTTGTTATCAGGAAGCATTGAGCACGTGCCAGTGAATTCTTCCACATGATGTGTGACTTGAAAAGTTTGTTTGCATGGTTTTATCATGTTTTTGATGTTTATTGCCATGCCTCAATTTCTGGACTGTTTGACTATTCCGTGCAGCCTTGTGCATTTGTGCAAGGAGGCAGTTTTACAGCCAAACAAGTAAGATTTGGCTCACCTCGAAGTGACTGACAGGTGATTTGCTGACATGTGTATATATATATATATACAGTAATTCCATTTTACGAGGATCAGAAGTTGATTGGAAGATGTTTCACTGGACCACATGTCCATGAAAGTCCGGACCATCCTCTCTTAGCAAGTGTCAAATCTGTTTGGGGTTGCAGGGCGATGTGGCAGCTGCGTTTGCTGCCGCCCAGGGTGCAGATCGAAGTGAGGACCGTACCTCAAGTTTATGTCATCAAAAACTGTTGGCATCTCACCTTTTGCAGATTTAGCATACGTGCTGTTTCTCTTCTGTTTCTCTTTAGCTCGTTTTGTTTCATTGAACGATTTGCATGTGGCGTGTCAGGCAACGGAGGCACAGGCAGTAGCAGCACTGCGGTCGAGGCGTAGCACGTGGATAAAACCCTGCTGCCTGCAGAAAGATTAAGAACATGGAATGATGACGCTGAGCTGGAGGTTACAATGCACACTTGATTGAATTCTTGGCGATGATTTGGCTGCAGGCGACATCAGATTCAATCAGCCCTTCAGCAAACAAAAGTCGAGGCAAAGAATGCGAAATCTCAAGCAGCTCATTTGGCATTGATGTCACCATTCATGAGCATTTGCCCGATTTGGCTCCTGGCTGCTTGACCCTGGCCATGAGGGTTTAGACTCTACATGCTTGAAATAATCACAGTTTGATTAGATTCAAAGCTGGGCTCTGGATGCCCACAGCCGGCCCTGAGCCCACAGATTGCATCTCAGAAGCGCTCAGCGGAGCAAGATTGGTCACAGGCCCGGGATGGTCTCAGCCTGTGCAAGGGGGGTCCATAGACGAAGGAGCCGACAACAGAGTGATAGTGCTTCAGATAGGGTGTCAAGATGACTTGTGAAACGTCACGGCTTTAGTTGGTTGTCCTTCGTGTTTCAGCTGATCCACATCATTGAGAACAGAAGGTGTGGCATGCATGTTTCGGATTGGCAGGCTAGGTGCATGATGCATTATCTGAAAAAATTGTAAACGTTATATCTGCACCGTTGCTGTCTAGTCCAAGTAAAACTCTCTCCCCACCCACGTGCCACCCTATCAATGGTCAAGGCCTTTGCCGGTCATGGCGTGCACCCCCGCACTGCATAGGGGTCGTGCATTTGTGTGTGAGGTGGCTCCCTGTTTTTTAATGTACCAAGCAATCCCTTGAAGCCGCCCGCCTAACAATGTGGCACAAAAGACGCGAGTGCACAATCTTTTGCAGAGAAGTCATGATTCTCGGGAAGACGTTGGTTGTTTTGACGTTGGCGATCTTATCCACAATTACTTAAGGATGCCTATGATATGAAATGACAAAAGTATGATTAACGTGTTCTTGATTCTATGCTTGTATGACTTTGCCCTTGCGTTTTTGTAGCTTGACATCTAGATACTGTGGAATTACTTTTGCACTGGATACTATGGAGTTCTATTTTTCCCCAAACAGTGTGGTCACACTAGGGGTTCTTACGGTAATAGTTAAGCACCGGCGCCGGTGTCTAATCGAGGTGTTGTATAGGTCCACTGCAATAATATTGCTCAGGATAGTCCCTGATATTGGTCCACAACTGATTTTTTATATTGTTTATATTGGTCCAGATTGGTCGCTGATATTGGTCCGGATTGATTTTTAATATTGGTCCAGATTGGTCCTTGATATTGGTCCAGATTGGTTAACATAACCAATCCTGAATGTTGAAAAACACAAATCCTAGGATTGGTGTTTTTCAAGTTCAATCCCGATTGAAAAATTTGTGTTGTTGTGTTGACGTTTTTCAATCTCGGATTCTCAGGGTAAAAAGCCTCTAGCAACGAAGGAAAGACCTAGAAAGAGAAAAGCGGAGGAGAGAAAGCAAGACCGTGCATGAATTACTCAGTGTGAAACTTCCAGCTGAATACATTAGCCACATGACATGAAAGAAACCTGAATTACACGCGAGAAGCCTTTAGCAACAAAAGAGTTGAACTGCAACTCATCCCATTCGTTCGGCACTTCATGATGTTGACCGTACAGCCACCTTACTCTCGAGTCCGCTCTAGGAAAAGGTCGCATGGGCTCCTTCGTTCCCCCTTGCCACTTCAAGTGGTAGCGGAGCCCGAAAAGGGTTACCGTGGTAGGTAGGTTCGTTGCCGTCGTGCCATGTCATGGAAACCAAGCAGGTGCCGACGTCGATCGGCGGGTGGCGAGGCGGACGAGCACGTCGGTGAGCGTGCGGGAGCGATGCCAGGGTCGGCTGGCAGTGAAGGGAAGGGGGCTGCGGCGGCGGTTAGCGCTGAAGCAGGTGAGCGAGAGCACTCGAGAGCAGAGCCCGTCGAGGAGCCAGCCGGTGTCTTGGGTGACGAGGTAGCAGCTAGTGTTGGGGGGTCTGAGGATCCATGGCTAGTTCACTCTGATCCTTGGTCGCGAGCTGGCGGAGACGGGAAGAGGTGGCGAAGCTGGGAGGATTCACACTACCAGTGGCATGGGGGCGACTGGTCCAGCAGTACGTGGTCATGGCAATGGGGGGCTAGTGATAGGCAGTGGGATTCCTGGTCTCCGTGGTGGTGGTCATGGCCCTCCGGTGGTACTTCATGGTCTTGGCATCACTCGGGTGAACCTGAAGATGGTGGTCAACCTTGGGTACCAGGTGGTGAAGGTGGTGTAGATCGACATGTACATGGTCTTCCAGGGGTTCAAGGTCAGGGCGACGATGGACGACCCCGCGTCGGTGAACGTCCTGGGGCTGTTGATGTGGCCTGGTACAATGACTCCAAGGTTGACGAAAGCTTGGAGATGAATCCGGCCGCTTGGCCGCCAGGGTCTTGGGAACACCATAGGTTAGATGATGAGCCCAATGGGGAGGTCATGGAGACATCCCTGAAGAGTTCAAAGGGGTCATCTTCAGGTGCACGCAAGATTCCAAGCACATACCCTCCAGCCTTCAGCGCATCTCCCAGCGAGAGCTACATTGAGTGGAAGCGGTCCGTGAAGTGTTGGATCGCTGGGGAGGGAGGACAGTTGCCAGAAGAGGTCATGGGTCCTCGGTGTTTAGCCATGTTGAAGGGTCGCGCTAGTGTCATTGTCCGCCACTTGAAGATTGAGGAGGTGAGTCAGTCCGGCGGCTTAGATTTGGTCTTCCAGGCTCTTGAGAGTAGCCCCATGGTGATGGAACTGGATGGCCAACGCGGTGAAAAGGCACAGCGCGAGTTCCTGCGATGTCGGCGTCAAGCCGGTGAAAGCATGGAGAGCTTCCTGATGCGGGTGCAGGCTCAACGAGCCGAGGAGGACCCGACCTTCGCAGTGGGTGACCGGTTCCTTGTGGGCTACATCTTGGACCATGCTGAGCTCACGTTGAAGGACAGAGTCATGGTCCTTGCTGCAGCCCAGAATCAGATGTCCTCCGTTTGTGTCTTTCCTGCCCTGCGCCGCATGGGACCTTTCTTGCAGGGCACAGTGCCGATTGGGAAGGGAGTCATTGATGCTCTTGCTTCCTGAGTTGCAGCCAGACCAACCATCATCCAAAACAGCCGCCGCCCATGAGGGCGGGCGTGAAGGCCGCCGTCCGTGGCAACCCTACAAGGTGAACGTCGTGGAGGAGGTGAGTGGCTACAGCGGCGGGGAAGATGGTGATTTTGAGGAAGTGGCTGCGGTCTCAGTCCCTGAGGAACTGGAGGCCGCTACTCATGCGGCTATGGCTGCCTTCTCGGCCTCACAGGCCAAACTTCGGGCTTTGAAGCAGGCCCGTGGTTACTTCCAGAAAACAGAACCATCTGTGCAGCCAGATCGTCGTGATCGCCTGAGGAAACTCATGCAAGAGAATCCACGCCGTGGATGCGGCCAGTATGGCCATTGGTCTAAGGACCCTGAGTGTCCCAAGAACGCCAAGAGTTCATCAGCGTCCTTGGTGACCACCCCAGCACAGTCTTCCGTTCCTTCTCCGGAGCAGCAGGCAGAGCACGCTGCAATGTCCGCAGTCTTAGAACAGATGATGCGGGACCAACAACAGGCAACGCCTCGAGCATATATGGCTGCGATGACTAGTTGGGAGGGTAGCACTTCGTTTTCGTCTGGGGACTTTGTGACCTTGGTGAACACCTCGGATGACTTGTTAGCAGCAAGAATGGTCGTGGATTTGGGGTGTTTGCGGACCGTGGCTGGGGTGAAGTGGGTGGTTCAGGAGATCGCTCGATGTCGTGCACAAGGTCGGTTTGTGGAAATTCGCAAAACATTGGATTATTTCAGGTTTGGCGATGGGGAGAGGCGACCATCTCATTACAGAGTGTTTTTGGAAGTAGGGTTGGCTCAGCATGTTGGATTGTTGGCGATCAACGCTGTTGAATACCCATGTCCTCCTTTACTCTCAAAAGTGGTGTGTTCGGCCTTGGGACTTCAGTTGGATTGCGGGTCAGGCCGGTTTGACCTGACGAAGATTGGGGTTCGTGGACAGCATTTCACTACCTCACAAGAAGGACATTTTTTGTTGAGCATTGATCATTTTCATCCGGCGTGGCCCCAATGGCAACAATTGTTGACAGCTGGCCATATTCCCAAAATCCAACGTGAAGAGATCCAGTGTTTTGAGCTGCGTTCTGGAGAGCCAGTTGGACGAGGTGCTCGCCGCGCTCGCCCTCACAGCTCTCACGTAGCAGTTCGAACGACTGTGCATCCACCGAGCCCTTCACGTCCGGCCCCTTCGATCCATGGCGGCGCAACGTCGGCGTGCAGCAGCGGCGGCGGCAACTCCCCAGATTGTGTCGCTGACCGACGGGGAGGAAGAGTGGGGGTCCGAGCCATCGCTGCATCGGAAGACAGCCCATGGCACCCGCCTGGACGAGAGCATGGAGAAACAAGCCACGGTCAAGGGCTATGCAACTACAGCCCAGGCCAAGAAGACCAAGGGCTCAGCGGCAGCGGCATCGACTCCGGAGGGCGGGACCGACCAGAAGAACCTCAAGAAGGTGTCAACCAAATCCTTGTCCAAGAAGGAGCAGATGCTGGCAGTGACGGGCTCAATGCCGAAATGCCGAGTTTCCGACTCTGGGGATGACCCTGAGCGGGGACGCAGTCTTCAATATGAGCTGGGTGATCCACGGCCGCCTGATCGTCCACAAGTGGAAGCAGCTCGTGTGGATGGTGCGCGCTCGGGATGCCCTGGAGGCGGAGGGGCGCCGCTACAAGCGCCACCCCCGCTGGTTGGCCATGATGTTCTCGCGAGAGACGGCAGCTCTTTGGGGACACCTCGGGGGCGCTGTGAAGACGCTGCAGGGGCCTCGCGGCCCGCCGCTGATGAAGTGAGAGTGAGCCAATCCATCACTGCACCACCACCGTCACAACATGCATGGAATCGAGGACAAGTGCAGCGGTTGAAACACAGCATCAAACAGGCAAAACATGCAATTACACAGTTGACATTGGTGGCCAAGTGCAGTGAGCAATCTTGTTGGAAGGTATTAGAAATTTTTGGTGGGAGCGCCAACTTGTCACTCATTGCCAAGTCGACAGGGAAATGGATTGCGCTGGAGCCGGTAGATTTGATGTATGGGTCAGATTTGTTGACACCTCAAGAACAAGCATTGGTTCTTTCTCAATTAGATCAGTGGGAACCCGATTTGGTCTGTTTGGAACCTCCTTGTGGTCCGTGGTCTTCTTTGCAGAGCCTCAATCCTAGGAAGGACTTGTTGGAGTTCAAACGTGCACTTCATATGCCTTTTTGGACCTTTTCAGCTAAAGTATGGAAGAAACAGCATGCAGCAGGTCGTTTGGTGCTTTTGGAACAGCCATTGCGGA